AGTCAACACCTTCTTTCTAAGTGAACCCCCTAGCAACCAATCTTGCCTTGTATCTCTTCTACGTCACTCCTTCGATTCCTTCCTTAACTTTGAAAATCCATTTACAGCTGACTAACCTAGCTCCAGCAGGTTTCTTGATCAGTTCCCAAGTATTGTTATCATGAAGAGATTTCATCTCATCATCCATGGCCTTCAGTCATTCAATATTCTTTCGACTCCTTATAACTTCCTTATACTCTCTAGGTTCTTCGTCTAGAACCTCACTTGTAGAGATTAAGGCATAAGCTATAAGATCTGCATACCCAAGTCTCTGAGGTGGCTTAATGACTCTCCTCGACCCGTCTCTTGCTAGCAGGTAGTCATTATCAGTCTCCTCATTTTCGACAACACCTTCTGCATCTTCTTTGACTTTATCTGAGGTATGCAATTCAGAATTAACATGCTCCACCTCAACAGGAATCTCTCCCCGTTCTAGATCTTCGTCAACATCATCAGTCTTCTTGAAAGCCATCTCTACTTCATTGAAAACTACATATTGACTGGTGATACACCTCCTATGACCTGGCTCTAGGCACCGTATCCTGTAAGCTTTGACTCCTTCAGGGTATCCCATGGACATGCATTTCAGAGCTCTAGGTTCGACCTTGTCTTGCCTAATATGAGCATAGGCCACACAACCAAATACTCTCAGTCTATCGAGAATAGGTGAATGTCTCAACCAAACTTCTTCAAGTGTCTTCATTCCCAAGGCAGACGAGGGACATCTCTTTATCAGGTAAGCTGCTATCAGAACAACCTCCACCCAAAACACCTTCTTCAATCCAGCACTAACCAACATGCATCTAACCCTTTCAAGGATTTCTCGATTGAATCTCTCAGCTAAGCCATTTTGATGAGGAGTGCCTGCTAGAGTCTTATGCCTTGCAACCCCAGACTCAACACAGTAATTGTCAAATGCTTTATTGCAGAACTCAAGGCCATTGTCGATTCACAACCTCTTAACCTTTCTGCCAGTTTGAGTTTTAACTAGAATATTCCATCTTTTGAAATTCTCAAAGGTTTTATCCTTCGTCTTCTGAATGAATACCTATAACTTTCTGGAATAGTCATCAGCGATGGATAGAAAATACCTTGCACCTGAGTGTGAAGGATTCCTTGCAGGCCCCCAAAGTTCAGCATGAATGTAATATAGGGATCCATGCGTTCTTTGCTTGTCTTTGTTAAACTTCTCCATACAGGATTTACCAAATACACAAGATTCACAAAACTCTAACTTTTCGACTTTGTCACCTCCTAGAAGGTTCTGCTTCCCCAATTCAACCAGACCTCTTTCGCTGATATGGCCCAATCTCATGTGCCATAATTCTGTCTTCGACAAAGGTTTCAAGGATGCAACATTTGTCAAACCACTTACAACCTCAGCCTCAAGAGTATACAAGCCTTGTTTCTTCACGCCTCTCAAAACTTCCTTCGTCCCCTTCATGACTCTTAGGATACTTTTCTCTCCTTGAATAATGTATCCTTTCTATCAAATTCACCAAGAGAAATCAAAGTTCTCTTCAAGTCAGGTACATACTTGACTTTAGTTAATACCCTTATTGACTCATCATGGAGCTTGAATCTCACATATCCAATACCTGCAATTTTACAAGATTTGTTGTTTCCCAGCAGCACATATCCACCATCTTGATCACATAGCTCCTCGAACAATTCCCTGTTTGGAGTCATGTGCCAAGTGTAACCTGAATCTATAATCCACTCTTTTCTCGAGTCGCCACTTGAAACCACAGGAACACCAGATTAGTCGAAGTCATCTTGAACAATGGCTGCGTTGCCATTACCTCCACGATCTTTCAGGCGTTCAGGGCACACCTTTCTTGTGCGACCCTCCTTCTTACAGTGATAACATCAAATACCAGATGTTTCGCCACTAAAAGACTTCTGTTGACTTTTATCTTTCTTCTTGTCGAACTTACCATCCTTTCGCAAAAAAATTCCCTTAAAGGCCAAACCTTCGCCCACTGTCGAAGGTTTATGCTCCTTTCGTTCGTCAAGTCCTTAGAATACAAGGATGATTGAACTTCTTCAAAAGTCAGGGACTCCCTTCCATACAAGAGAGTTTCTTTGAAGCACATAGCAATAACAATGTTTGATCTTCATCATCGATCTTCACATCAATATTTTCAAGATCAAGAATCAACTTGTTGAACATATCCAACTGCCCAACCAACACTTTGTCTTCACTCATCTTTAATGAATACAAAGCTTGCTTCAAGTAGAGTTGATTCATCAGAGATTTGGTCATGTATAAACTTTCATGTTTCACCCATAATCCCGATGTTGTAGTCTCCTTTGATACTTGTTGAAGAACCTTATCACCAAGGCTCAACAACATTGTGTTGTGGACTTTCTCAATCATGTCCATCTTTTCTTTTGCCGTTAACGCAACGTCCGCAGCTGTCTCTCCCTTCAATGCTTCTAAACAACCCTGTTGAACCAATAGGGTTTTCATCTTCAAGCGCCACAGACCGAAGTCGTTCACTCCGGTGAACTTTTCAATCTCATACTTTGTTGAAGGCATCTTCTCCACGCCCATCACACCACTTTGTTGTGAATCAGATGTCTTGAAAAAAATATAAACAGTTTCTTTATGATCAAGAAACACACAATGGTTAAGGTTAACAAAGATAACAAGGTAAAACAACAAGGAACAATAAGGATTGATTATAAATTGCTATTCTTTCTTTACTCTTAGAACAAGATTACAAGTATACGATAATAACAAAATAACTTATCTTTCTCTATTGAAATTAGGATTTTATCTTCTTATTTTTCCTTATGCCAAGATCGAGAAACTATCATCCTATTTATAAGAAAAATAGCACACTAACCTAATGGTTTTTTTTTAACAATTACCCATTACAAGCTAACTTATGATACAAGCTAACTTAAACAATTGGGCTTACAAGCAAGACCCTATTCAACATGCTAACAACCCTAGCAATATTGACTAATGCATGTTAGAACAAACTTCGACTACAACACGCATTACTCTGGCAGCAACATGCGAACATACTTCGACCTCATGCTTAATTCCTGTCAAACCAGAAACTACCATTCGATCATACTAGAGTTTGATCCAATATCTCGCATTAACTAATTTCTAAAAAAATTAATTAATTAATTTCTAAAAAAATTAATTAATTAATTTCTAAAAAGGTTTAACTAAAATTCTTAATTAATTATATAATAGAAATATTAAATAATAAATTATTCTAGTCAATCATTCCATATCATTAAATTTAATTTTTTTTAATTCTAATTATCAATGTCACTTATGCAAATCTGGACGAGATTAACCAAATTCCAATTTTAAGTTATGTAAAATTTAGGGAGCAAAAAGCTTATTTTTATAGTCTATTTGGTAAGAAAAAAAACTTTTAGTTTTTCAACTCATTTTGATTAAAAAAACTCTATTTGATAACTGCCTTTTAGCTTTTAGCTTATAGCTTTTTTTTCAAAAGCTATTTAAAGTAGCATTTGAGCTTGTAACTTTTAGCATATGACTTTTTATTCCAATTATACCCTTATTATTTTAACAATATATATATATATATATATATATATATATATATATATATATATATATATATATATATATATATATATATATATATATATATATATATATATATATATATATATATATATATATATATATATATATATATATATATATATATATATATATATATATAATTAAAAAAATAATTTTAAAAAATTGAATTTAGGGAGATTTTGAAGAATGTTATAGATGATTTTTTCTATTTTTCTCTACTTTACTAGACATTATTTTTATTTATTAAATATAAATTATATAATTAATTTTAAAATAATGTTTATAATTCTCAAGTTAGGAGAATCAATGAAATCAAAAAAGATGAAGAAAATTCAAAATATTATTACAGATTTATTGTAAAATATTAGACAATAAATTTATTTTTGTTATTATTTTAGATTAATATAACTAAATTCAAAATTATAATGTTATTATTTTACGTATTTTATTAATTTCATTATAAAATTAGAAAAAAAAACTATATTTTACAAAAAAATAAGTTAACCAGACTAAGAATTGTAATTATTAGGATTACTTTTACTTTTATGTTCTCCTAAATAACTTTATAAAATACCCTTACTTCATGTATGATTTACTGTTTCTTTTATTCAATAAATTTTGTTGTCAATATATTCATACTAAATAGCAAATCTCATAAAATTTATATATTTTGATTATATCTTTAATTTTTTTATATATATTAAAATTGTTTTGCATGTTGTTATTAATATATTTACTTTTATCAAATAAAATTTAATTTAATAATATAATATAATAAGATAATAAAATCACAAATTTTTTAATTAAAAATGTCCTTTTAGGTCATTTTGTAATTATCAATTAGTGTAACAACTAATTTATCAAACACTCAAGTTAACTTATCAGATATCAATCATCAACTATAAATTATAAACTAACAGCTATCAGCTATCAAATATAAGTTAATTTTATCAAACAAAACCTTAAAATAGAAGAATTAAAAAATAAAAAACATCAAAGTAAAAGAATAAAAAATGTACTTAAACCAGAAATCTTATACTAATAGTCGTCACGTCGCAACAGACAAACATTATATGCATTTTCAAGTGAACTTGTCTGTTGTAATGTGTAATCTCAAAGGGGATATAAGAAGGATACTTTCAAAATTTTATAAAATTTATAAGATTTCAGAAAAATAATAAGAGTCTAACGAAGAATCCCTATATTTTCTACTCATACAATATGTAAATTTTTACACCACCTAGATCCATACGAAATCATAAATATCAGCCCTTTGATTAATCTAACGGTTGACAAAATATTAATAATATCCGTGCAAACAGTTTGTGTTTTCTCGGACTCGTTTTGCGCTCGAGCAGGTTTCTAGAACGTCTTTGTTTTCATGGCTTCTCGTCTTCACTCTTCACTCTCTAATATTTCTCTTTTTCTCTCAATTTCAACCCCTTCATCTTGCAATCGCCATTTCAAATTCAAAACTTTTTCCCACCTCAACCAATCGTCTTTGCACCACCCAGTTACAGATTCTTCATCTTCACCCAAAACCAAAATTTGGGTCAATCCTAACAGCGCCAAATCTAAACCTTTCAGAAGAAAACACTTTAACTCTAGGACCGCTTTTCTCCTTCATCTCGCCGCGTCTTTGGACTCGTGTGATCCCACTCAGCAACACGTCTCTGCAATTCTGAACTGTTTAGGAGACGATGCCGTTGCAGAACAAGACGCCGTGTTCATTCTTGATCAAATGTTCAACCCCAGAACTGCACTCGTTGTTCTTAGACACCTTAGGGACAAAATTCAATATGTTAGATATAATGAAGTGGTTCTTTACAATGTCACCCTCAAAGTGTTTAGGAAATGTAACGATTTTGAAGGAGCACAGAAGGTGTTTGATGAAATACTTCAAAGAGGGGTCAAGCCTGATAACATTACGTTTACTAATATGATTAAGTGTGCTACGATGCCTTCTATGCAGGATAGGGCTGTGGAGTGGTTTGATAAGATGCCGGGTTTTGTGTGTGAACCTGATGCCATCACGTGCTCAGCTATGCTGTGTGCCTATGCACAAACTAATCATGTTGGTATCGCTCTACAACTGTATCATATTGCAAAAATAGAGAAATGGCCTATTGATGCAGTGACTTTCTCAGCCTTAATTAAAATGTTTGACTTGTCTGGAAACTATGATGGATGCTTGAATATACACTTAGAAATGAAGCGTCTTGGTGTGAAGCCTAACGTGGAAACATATAACAGTTTGTTGGCTGCCATGTTGAGAGGTAAGAGGCATTGGGAAGCCATGACTATACATCAAGAGATGATAAGTAATGGAGTTTTACCGGACTTTACAACTTATTCATCTCTTTTGCGGTTATATGCTCGTGAACAATATGATCAATACGCTCTTGGTGTTTATAAAGAGATGAAAGGGAAAGGAATGGATGTGACTGTAGATCTCTATAATGTGCTTTTAACTATGTGTGCTAAAGTTGGCTCTAATCATGAAGCTCTAGAGATATTTGAAGACATGAAAAGTTCTGGGACTTGCCATCCTGACAGTTGGACTTTTTCAGCCTTGAGTAAAGTATATTCCAACAGTGGGAAAGTTTCTGAGGTGGAAGGGGTGTTGGGTGAAATGATCAAATCTGGTTTTGAACCTGATATTTTTGTTATGGCATCGCTTGTCAATTGCTATGGAAAAGCTAAGCAAATTGATGATGTTGTGAATGTATTTGATCGATTCTTGAATCTGGGCATCATTCCAGATGATCGCTTCTGTGGTTGTCTGCTGAGTGTTATGGCAAAAGCACCGAAGGAAGAGCTTGGTAAACTAATAAAGTGTGTTGAGAAGGCTAATACAAAACTCGGGTATGTGGTAAGATATTTGGTGGAAGGGCAAGATAGTGATGGGGATTTCAGAAAAGATGCATCAGAACTTTTAAATTCAATTGACGCTAAAGCAGAGAAGACTATATGTAATTGTCTGATTGATCTTTGTGTCAATCTGAATCTACCCGACAGAGCGGGCACCCTTCTTAGCATAGGGTTGATGCATGGAATATATAGGAGTATGCAATCACGATCTCAAACAATGTGGTCTTTGCACCTGAGGAACCTCTCGATTGGAACTGCTATGACTGCATTTCATGCTTGGATACATGACTTATCTAAGGCTTTGGAATCGCGCGAGGAGTTTCCACCACTACTTGGAATTAATACAGGGCGAGGAAAACTTAAGAATTCAAGCAAGGGTATAGCTAGTGTAATTGAATCACAATTGAAGGAACTCAACGTTCCATTCCATGAAGATCCAAAGGAAGCTGGCTGGTTTTTGGTTACAAAGGAAGCAGCCGAATCATGGCTGGAGTCCAGGGGTTCAACCAAATCCATAGCTGCTTTGGATTCTATGGTTTTAAATGCTCCATCAATGGCCCTTCCATATTGAAAATATTATAGGGAATGATGTGCGGTGTTACTTTCATGCATTTTCATTCTCCAAATTTTCATGTTGAGTTCTGACTCCAAGTCTACTCCTGAAGGTCAGAAAGCTATCATGGCATTTTGGTAGGAAAAAGAATAAGGATAATAGGATGGGAAAGACAGGAAGTTGCAATTTTCAGATGTATTTCATTCAAAGTATAAGGGAGTTTCAATTTTCTGAAATTTGAAAAGCAGCTCACATGTAGATATCTCACAAATTCGGAATCTTCTGGAAGTCCTCTTCCTTCCTCCAATGAAGCATATATTTATGTAACTTTTGTTCATTTATTTTTCATCCTCGTCTTACAAATACTTAAGTCTTTGATGCTTATAGTTTCTTGCAGTAAAATTGAATGCATTTGGTAGTCATCGTAATTCGTAAGTTTTCATGGTTGAAGGAGCAACAGGTGTTATATCCCCAGCTTCATGGTAGTCATCGTAAGTTTTCATGTTTAAAGAAAACGCTGAAACAGTTTCATACCCATGAATTGGAAAAATGCAATTGAGAAGAGTTTACGGTGAAAGATAAGTATTAAAATTGATGAGTTTTATCATATTCTTTCATTTTCTTTCATTGTATCTTAAGTTCTTTTCATCCTGAAAGTTCACTAAAATCAAATTGCCTAACTTCTTGTTGTATCTAGCACATACGACTATTTTTATTTGCAAGTTTAATGTTGACTGTTGAGCAAGAAAACAAATGGACAAATTGTTAATAAGAGCTTGGATGATAGAATTTTTTTCACTTGTTGATGATCTAAAGAAATGACAAACATAAATTACAGATTTTTTTTATGGCTGGACATTTCTTGCCATACTCAGCTGGATGTTTCAGACACATACTTTAGCTGCTTCTTTTCTTCTCTAAAAGGTAGAGTGAACAAAAAGCTTCGACTTTTTGTTTGGTTAGCGGTTTGTTGGTCGATTTGGATAAACATGAATGAAATGGTTTTTAAGGATACTTCCTTCCGAGTTGCCGATTTGGTGAATAGGGCCAAAGTGTTGTCTTGGGACTGGTTCGTAGTTAGAAGCAAAGTGACGGTTGATTGTTGTTGGATCGATTGGTATGACAATCCGTTAATTTGTCTCTCTCTTGTAATGATTCTAATGATTGAGTACTCCTAGCACTCCTTCTCATTAATACTACTCAAACATGATATATAAGCACAAAAAAAAGAAGATAAAATTTCATGGAAAAATAGTTAAGTGCATTTAATTTTTTTGATTTCATGCAAAAGGGATAACATAATTACTGGTGTATCCTCAATTAAATTGTCATCCATTAGTAATATTAAGTAATTAATAAAGGAATAATTTTGAAATAAATACATTAAATGCACATAAATTTGATGAAATTTGTTTATATTTAAGGTCAAAAAATTTAAAAAACTTCTGCTAATAAATAAGGGCAGAGTGATTATAAATTTTGTTTATAAAAAAAATATAACATGATCTTGTTAGAAATACGGGGGTTAAAAACTCATATGAATTAATGTTGGATATTAAAATATAGTACTTCTTTCGTTCCTTTATATAAGAGAATCCTCATTTTTTAAGTTCATTGAATAACTAATGTATTTGATCAGTTTATAGGCCATATCTATTGATAATTTATTGAACCTATAAAATGAGTTATCTCTTATATAAATAAACATAGGTAGTATTACTTATTTTTTCTAAATAGCTAATGTTCACTTATCTGATTATCTTAGAAAACTGTGTTAGCTTAACTTCTTTCTTGGTTGAAAATTGCACATGGTCATTTATTAACGAGAATTTCTTAAGGTACATATGTATTTTTTAGACATTATGTGGATTTTCTATAATGTCTCTAGTTTTTCATAGATATATCTCCGGAGGTACCCTTTTCACATTTAAGGAAGGTCATTTTGAATGACACCTCATGTAGTTGTTAAAGATTTATTTCAGAGATATATTTTCGGAACCATTTAGAGAAAACATAAAAATTAATCAGTTCAGTGGATGTTCTGGAGATATATATCCGGAAGATGTGAGCGGCAATTTGAATTTTCGTGCCACATTTGCATGTCAGATTGCTCCGGAGATATATCTCTGGAAGTATTTGATATAGTTTCAAGCTGCATGATCAGTCCCCGCATTGTTGTCATTCTTCATTTCAACTCTAACCTTCACCCTAAAAACCTTACATTCTCAATCTCATTTTCACTCCAAATCTCCATTCTTTTGGTTCAACATATCACAGGAAGTAAAAGAAGATCGAATTGCAGGTAAAGATTGTTCATTCTATTCTGCATTGCCCACATTAATCATGAAACTTTGCTGGAAAAAACTTACGCAGTGTCCAAAGATGTATCCTTAGAACGTGCTGAACATGAACTTTTCTAGAGATATATCTCCAGAATATTTTTGTGTTCATTTTTATATTTTTCTGTAGCAGTAGATTAATTATGTTTATTGTTTTTATTGTTTCCTATAGATATGGTGCACCCCGATAATATCTCGAAACAAGTAGTTTCTTCGAACGAAGTTTCTCTTAATGTTCAAGGGATTGTTGTTAAGGCAGTAGATGTTCACAATGAATTTAATAACAAGCAAGAGTTTGAAAATCATGATAACATGATCGAATGGATTCGTATTGTGGCATCTAGACTTGGATTTGGTGTGGTTATCGGAAGGTCGGATAATGAATCAGATATAAGAAGTGCATTTGTGACTATGTTGTGCGAAAGAAGCGGAAAATATCGAACTCCTCTCCGAAAATTTAAAAGAGGAGACACGGGTAGTAGAAAATGTGAGTGCCCGTTCAAGTTTCGTGGTTACATTTGGCTAGCAAAAAATAGAGATTTAATGTCATTTGTGGTGTGCATAACTATGAATTGTGCTTAAAATTAGCTGGACGTCCTAGTGTATGTCGGCCCAAGCCGGAAGAGAAGGTATGTATTAGTGACATGACCTTGAATCTTGTCCAACCGAAAAATATACTTGCAACATTGAAACAGAAGCAAACCGACAATATATCAAACATCAAGCAAGTGTATAACATTTGGTACCTTACTAATAAGGCGATTAAGGGAGATAAAATTGAGATGCAACAACTGTTGAAACTCTTGGACGATAACAATTACGTGTTCCGGTACCGAACTTGCGACGATGGAGTTACGGTTAGAGATATTTTTTGGACTCATCCGGATTCAGTAAAGTTGTTCAACACGTTTTTCGACAGTGCTCATACTTGATTCTACCTACAAGACCAACACATATAGACTTCTATTATTTGAGATGGTTGATGTTACCTCAACTGGGAAGACATACTCTGTTGGTTTTGCATTTTTAGAGTGTGAAAAAAAGGACAATACTTGGGCATTAGAGGTGTGTCGGTCACTTTTGAAGGATCAAGGTGACATGCCTAAAGCTATTGCTACAAATCGCGATACCACATTGATGAATGCGGTCGTAAAGACGTTTCCTTCTTCTTATGCATTACTTTGTAAGTATCATATAACAAAGAATGTGAGAAGTCGAGTTAAACCCGCAGTAGGGACGAAACAAGTAGAGTCTGAAGGTGGAAAATTGGTTAAGTCGGGTGTGATTGTGGAGAAAATAATGGATGCATGGAATCACATAATAAATTCTTCCAGAAAAGAATTATATGTCAATTATGTCATTCATTTTTGGAAAGTGTGTGAAAATTATCCGGCTTTGTTGAAATATGTTGAAAACACCATTATTGATCAAGTGAAGGAGAAGATAATTTGCGCGTGGACTGATAATGTATGACACCTTGGAAATACAACCACCAATAGAATTGATTCGACTCATGCTACTTTGAATATTGGTTGGGAAATAACAAAGGGGATTTGTGTCGAGATTGAGACTCGGTGAACCACATGATTTAAAACCAACATAATGAGATACAAACAACATTTGGTCGGAGCATCACAGTTTTAAAACACTGATTCAAAGACAACATTCTTTATTCTCATTTGGTGGACAACATTTCACGGGCAGGGTTGAACTATATTTTTCATGAGGCCAAACGAACTGATAATGTAGGCTTCGGTAGTGCAAAGTGTGGTTGCACTATTATGAAAACATATGGTCTCCCATGTGTTTGTGTTATTGCTAAAAAAGTGAAATTTGGTGAGCCAATAAGAATAGACGAGGTTTTCTCTCATTGGAAGAGACTTAGTTTCGATGATGATGGATGCATGGGTGAAGGTAAATCGAATATCTCTATTTTAACTTAATGGCAAGCGATACAAGAGAGATTTTTGAAGGCCGATGACAACATGAAACTCCACATCAAAGACACAATTGAGGAAAATTTCCTATCTCGAAACCACGAACATGTAACCGCCTCCTCAACCAGTAAAAATAAAGGGTGCTCTGAAGAAAATGAAACCTACACCGAATGACAACTCGACTACACGACCTCTGTCGCTTTCGCGAAAATAAGGTGTCGGCACAACAGAAGAGTCGCCACCTTTCTTTATTTATCCCTCAGAGCGGGAAAGGAAACGATCGGAAAAACCTAACGAAAAAGGGTAAGACAAGGTCGTCGCAACCATTGCCTGGGTTCGGGAGTCGGTTACGTAAGGGGAAGGTATTAGCACCCCTCACGTCCGTCGTACTCGACGGGATCCACGCTTGTTGTGTTTACTTGGACGGGTTGGTTTATCTATCTACCTATCAAGGCTGGCTTAAACAGAAAAGAAAAATGACTCGGCAAAGCGTCGCGCTTTATGCCTACGTATTCTCATCAGAGAACGAGAAATCAGAGTCAACGTAGTTCGACCTACGACGGATTATGGGGGAAGGTAGCTCGCCAATACATCAGTATTGTGCCTACGTACTCTCAATAAGTATGAGAGATCAGAGCTCACGTAGTTCGGGCCACTACGCTTTATTTCCTGTCTTTTACGAAAGAAGTGTTTTTTATTGTGTTTGCAATTTCAATCGCACTAGAGACTATGACCTGAGAGT